TCAAACTACATAAATAACAGATAATAAACTAAAAATAAACTTAAAACTAAAATATATAAAATAACCAATTGGTTTCAATGTTTCGGTCTAAAACTATAAGCGGCACTTAAGGGCTGGTTTTCCTCCCGCAGCAGTGTGTCGCAGTGAGCTTGTACAGATATTTCAGATTTATGCCCATCATTGAAGTTTGGTTTATGCTGTTATTTAACGCCACAATGCAAGAGAGTCAATCAGGAACTAGCGGTGGGTCTAGATACGACCGAGGTGGTGAGGAAGTGAGGGCAAGTTTATGCGACAACGGAGGGACATGAGGGCCAAAAAGAGCGGGGATCCAGGGTCCCAGCGTTCTCGTGCACCTCACTCTTTCAGCTGGTCCAACTTTACCAATCGGTCATAAAAACAAAGGCCGGTAAGGTACCAAAAAGGAAATAGTGTAGAGTGGATGTAGATTTGACCAATCAGAGGCCTCCTGTCTGCGACATTGTCTGCGGTCACCTACTATTTTGCAGCAGAGTGTCTGCGGGAGAGGCGGGAGCACATTTGTGTTAACTGCGACACACATGCAGACGACTTGGTCTTTGAGTATAAACCAGCCTTCATTCATGAGCACCAGGTGTTTAAAAGACTCAATTAAATGTGTTTGTGCTGAATGTTGTAGGCACAGTAGAAGTTTGTTTCTCGGTTTGCTTTTGAATCCTTCAACTAAAAGCATTCATTATCTCTGAAGACAGAGTTCAGACTCACCCCGTTGGCCCTGCTCATTGCCTGGAAGTAGATGCTGTAGCTCTTGGCAGGTGAGAGCGGAGGGTTCAAGAAGCCTCCGTAGCTCTTGTTGTCCCCAACCGTGAATGGCTGCACAACCGTGAGGCTGGATGGCGGCAGATCAGCAGCCATGTAGTACGCAGAGTTCAGGACGGAGGCGTTCCTGAAGCTGAAAATGGCAGAAAAACACTCCGGAGCTTCAGAGGCGGCACGGCGGCTTTTAGACTTTCTCTCCTCCTTCACAACAAGCTGGTAGGAGCTGAAAAAAAAAAGAGTTGATTTCTATAGAAAATCAGGCAACAAAACACTGACAGATAAAGTTGTCTAGAAAACTCCTTATTCAGGTATAATTCCTTCAAAGTTTACAAGCATATAGTCCTATTTCTAAGCTTATGCTGGAAATAAATAATAAATAAATGTATTTGTTCTTGGATTGAGGAAGTTAAAGAGACATTTTACACTTCAAATAAGAAAAAAACAACTGTATTTTCTTATTTCAAGTGGATGTTATCAAATTATATCATTCTAATTAGTGTTGCACCGATACCGAAACAAGTATCAGGCGGGGCCCGATCCAACACTAAAATGGTGGTATCGGCATCAGTGAGTACAAACAAATAGCGCACTGATACCATTTTGATAGCCAAAAGTTTATTCAACTATTGTCAGCCATTCCAGGTAGGCAATAAATTCTACTGGATTCCCTTTGTATTAGTCTTTTTCCTGCTTCACAAAGGTAGGCAGCAGCTTGACAGTGTAATGCTGCCATAGATCTTTATACATATAGATATTTATACATTGGTAAGACCAGCATCCAAAGGCTCACATCCAACAACCTAATTCTAGATAAAAACAGAAGAATGAAAATCAAGTTTGTGCATTAATGGATGCTAACAGCTGTGTGTTTATCTGCACAGGTGTTGCTCTGTTTCTACTCTTTAAATGTGCTTTGGTCTCTGTGTGTGTGTGAGTCTCCATTATGCTCTGAGAGTCCATGAATGGTTAAGGGCCTCCTTTAGCGGCCAGGACAAATGCAGCGGCTCTCTGCAATTACCTCCACCCTCTACGCCAAGAATTCGCTTCACAATTATACACAATTAGGGTAATGTATGTTTCTGTGAAGAGGGGGCCGCCGCCAATTATCCCTAGCTCCTGTTTGGCGGCTTTCATAAAAAATAATTGCTGATGACCAAAGATGGGTCTCTCTCCATGTCACGTCTTGAACGTTCTACCGCTTTGGATGAAAGACGGCTTTTAGAGGGAGCACAGAATAAGAAGACGGAGTGCGCTGGTTTAAGATCAGAGACGCCATGTTTCCATCTTATGAGAAACTCTGAGGGAACTTTAAAAAGTTGAAAGAATATGAAACGTGAGTTAGATATGTTTTATCCCCTTGCTCGGGTTTAACAGCTCTGATGTCATGATCGCAGCTCTGGTAGCTGATCTGATTACTCACTTCATTCACCTGCTGTTCCGTCCCCGCTCTCTAATTCTCATTTGTCTAATTTACCTGCTCCCTCTGCTATTCAGCCCAGCTATCGGGGCCAGATCATTATTCGTTAGTATTTCTTAGTTTATTCTTAGTTTGTTCGTGTTATGTTGTTGTCTCAGTTATTTCATGTTTGTTACATGAGTTTTAGTTAAGTCCAAGGTTCATGTTCCCGTCCCCAGGGGCCAGTGGATTTAGAGGGTTTATTGCTGTGGGAGGTCAGTTTTAGTCCCATGATCCTGGCTCCTAGGGGGGAGCAGTTTAAAGTTCGGCATTTATCCTGATACCATGTCTTGTCTATGTTCCTCTCTACCTCTGAGCCTGCCTGTCTTCGTATGAGCGTGTCTGTCTGAGCTCGTGCTGGACTAATGGAACTCTGAACCTGCCTGAACGCTCTGTGGATTCCTGGAACCCTGGATCTTTTTGTTCCTGTTCGGATCGGAAACCCCGGTTGGGCTACGGACTCCTGGGTCTCGGAACTGTCCAGTTCTGAACCGTTTCTCAGACCTGGATCGTTATCCTGTCTGCTTCATCGGGGACGTTTTGGACGGCTCTGAGCCGCAGCTCGTTTAGCAGTCCATCGGCTGGATCTTGTCTTCCTCGGAGAGGACGGACTGAACTGTTAAACCAGAGCGTCAGTGATTGAGCGGTGCCCCACCCCCCTCCTACAGCCGCTGCGGTTCACTTATCCTCAACAGGCCATCTTTCTGTTCCTTTCTGTTTTATCATCCCTGTCATTGAACGCTTTGAAACGTCCGATTGTCTGACTCGCCTTGAATACTGGATACATCTGTCGGTTTTATGTCATCTAAATCTAAAGTTATCGATACTTATTCCTGCTGATGCTGGAATAAGTTTGGTAGAGATGTGTTTATTGCTTTTCAGTGTTGGAAACGTTACTTAAAAACAATAATTTGTTAAAGTTACTAATTATTTTTCTAAAAAAGTTACTCAGTTACTGCGCAAACAAGGGAACTAGTTACTAGTCAAAGTAACTATGTAGTTGGCTTTTATGATCTAAAATGTTGAAGAATTTCACTTTTTACAGAACTATAAATACAACTGAAGCTTCAATTATGAAAAACGTTGGAGATTAATTAACGAAATAAAAAAAGTAGAAGGTTTGAAAAACATTGAATAATAATCTGCACCATGTTGGTGAATGCTAACTCTGATTATGCATTTGGTTTATAATAAAAGAACAATGCAGTCAACTTTATACTTATGCACATTTAGAAGCTTCAACTGGTTATACAAAAGGTATGAAGCTGTAAAATAATGTTTACAAGCAACAGATCAAAGTAAAACATCTTTCTAGCAATAAAAGCTAAGACCTTTAACCCTTTAAAGCCTGATCCAAGAATAAAACAAAACAGAAAATTACTTTTTTTCGTTTGAATTCCTTCCTTCTTTTTAACAAAATATGTAAAAAGAAAAAACAGAAA